ACACACACACCCTTGTATTTGCATCAAACTGAGGGCGTTGTATTGACTTCCATTCATTTTTGTAACTGTGTTTATGCCTAACCCTGACATTTTCCCTAACCCTACCCATTACTAGTCTATGCCTAACCCTAACCAGAACCAGACATTAATTCACATCATACCTCAAAACATAATTAGTAAAGTGCAGTAGAGCTGCAAAAAAAGAGTGAGGACCGAGAAAATGTCCTCACTTTCCACCAAAGACATCACTTTGATAGTAACTGCTATGCAAGTGGTCCTCACTCTGTAGCAGAAACAAACACACACACACTGCTTTACAGGGACGACAGGTTATCTGAAGCATCAGACTGTACCGACACAAACTACATTTAAATTTATGCTGTTAAACAATCTACATGCAGACCAGCTGCAGTCAGCTGTCCTGCTGTCACAGCTCATCCCTAAAGTCAAGTTGTTTCTTTGTGCAAAGACTCACTCGGCTCACTTTCTAGTTTCATACACTCAGTTGGCTTTTTTAACACAGATACAATAAAAAAGACAACTTTAATTAAAGTACTCTCTACGTTATGAAAGATAACCAAAAAAAAAAGATATTGTGACAAATACAGTGTTATTGAAATAAAACTGTAAGATCAGAAATGTCTGCTGGTGGTTAGCTGGACAGTAAGAGCCAAAGGTGGGCTGGAGGGAGGAGTAACAGAGAAAATGACTCATCTTTCCTCAGAACTGGAGAATCACCACAAAACCACAACATACACTTTGGTTTTTTTATTAGGTCGTTAAAGCAAATGCCCTCAAGATGCTATCCAAGGTGCTGAAAAGAACCAGACTGAACCAACTCTGAGGAATTAGACTAAGAAAACATTTCACCAACCAATGATACTGATCCTGCTTTAGAGATCATGATGAACAGTTTTCTGAAACATTTCATTTTCTATTGTCTTTATGGTGATTTAAGCCAAAGATTAATATGGGGTAATAATCATTAAAAATAACATTTTAAAGAATAACAAAACAAATAAAATTTTAATAATAATGATGAAAAATGTTTGAAAGAGAAAAGTACATTTCTTTCTTTTACAATAACTTATTTGGCAGGTTAGGTTAAATTATGAGCTGAAAAAGCTCCTCGAGAGAAGTGAAACATCTTCATAAGTCTAAAACAAGTCCAGTCGTCTTTGACTGAACTTGTTATTAGAACAATTTTACAATAACACAGGCTCAGTGAGCAACTAGCACAGACTGATCACCACCTAAAACTCTTGTTGCAAAACTTCACAAGAAGATAAATATATATTATGTTCCAAATCTTCTGAAACTTTCAACTAGAATTCAGGAGCGACTATGTGATTTTCTGTAATCTGATGTCAGCTAGCCAGTGCGAGTGTGTGGGAGGAACAGTGTCCGTGTACTTGAGACGGATGGTGCAACTAGCAGGGAAGAAAAACAAGGCGTTTTTCTGAAGAGACAGGATAATTATGAATAATAATTATTTAAAAAGGCCCCTAATTCTCATAGTGAGACGATGACGAGATTAAGTTTCACTTAGAAATTCATGTATAACTATAACTATAAAAAGGTGAAAAATGTACATATGAACCAAAAATGGAGAAATATTTTTTCAGAAAAAGCAACCTGTTAAGAAGAGATCAACATGAGGTGGAAACAAGTGAAGTTGAAATCCTGATTAATCTTGATCAGAAACAAAACAACAAATGTGTTAAATTCAAATCATTTAATTTGATGGCAAAACCCAACAAATACCTGTTTCAACAAGCTGTGTGAGATTTTTTATCTCTCTTTACTGCAGTAAAGTGGGCACAGAGAGTTCAACTCCCTCTGATTATAAAACATATATCAGGGATTCTTCAAGGACTTGAGCAACACTAAGGACACTTGGACCTGTGGTCATGAAGACAGGATGTGTCCTCTTGACACTTTCAAACCACCACACAACACACATCCTACCTGTGAGATGCACGGATGCCCATGAGATGTGAGGCAAAGAGGAGGAGCAGAGAGTGCAGGTGCTGAAAGAGCGCCTTACTCCATCCACCAGACAAACAAATAAGAAGGTTCAGACTGAAGCAGGAGCACAACACGGAGTGAAGAGTGGAGAGGAGGCAGCAAAAGCAATCAGAGTTGATGACCAAAAAGCCAAGCAAACAAACTGAGACGACAGGAAAGAAGAGGCTGAAACTGAGAGGAGTCGAGGGGTGGGGGGGTAGAATAGGAGCGTGGGGAGGAGATACTGCTAAGAACGTRCTGCAGGCTGAGCCCTGGACTGCAGAGATCCACTGCACACTCACTGATTCCTGCTTACATTTACTTCCCTCGCACACACTCGCTGTCTCTCCGTCTGACCGAGAACTCTCCTTGGTCGTCGTCAGCCTCTGGCCCAGCCCCCCTCACTGACAGCTGCGAAATGATTGGGGGACTGAGCCCAGCACTGCATTGCAGGTGAGGTGCGACACCAGCTTCCCACCCCCCACCCCCAGGAAGCCCTCCTCGTTCTGACCAAAACATCACATCACTCTTCTTTCCTCGTCGTCTTCCATCAGCACCTCACTCATCTTGTATGCTTGTCATCACAGCAGTGCTTTGCCCCGCCCCCTTTTTTTAAACAAAGCAACAATTTCAAGCTTTATGTTACAATCATCAAACCCTGACCCCAAGACTCTTAAGATGAGCCCTGAGGGTTAAAAAGAACCAGAATAACACTACAGATCCTAAATCTAACATGTTTCACAAGATTAATCCCAGTCTTAAATAAAATAAATAATTATTTATCAAGGTCAAACATTTAAAAAGCTGCAGAAAGTTGGTACATGTTAATGTTTTTGCCAAACTGTGCATGACAAAATAACCTACAACCTCTTCAAAAAACAAAGCTGATATCCACATTTACTTAGCCTTTAATTTTGACTTGACTTTGTACAAACATGCGCATATTTAAGAGTGAATAATGTCATCTCCGATTCAAAATGTGTAAATGTTACACAAGGGCATGAAACCACCATTTCTGATAACCTGATGTGACTGAAATCAAATTRTGAAAATTATACAACTCAGTAGGGTTGGGCAATATTGGCAAAAAAATTAATCACGATTAATTGTGGTGTTTAGCCGATAACGATAAATTTGACGATTAATCCCCTGGAGTCCCTGGATACACTTATGTCCTAGTCACATGACCAATTTAATAGGAAAGATTTGTTCTTCATACAAATCTGTTCCAAACTGTGTCAAAATTACAGACTTCAGGCTATACATCAAATTTTAAATTGTGTTGATAGATAAATAAATTACAGAACTTTTTTTATGTTCATTATATTTGAAGCACAGGAGCAGCGAGCAGACTCTGTCTGGTGGCATTAATCGTATTAATCATCATGTGCCAAAACGTAATCAATTAATGTTTTTCTGACGATTAATTGCACACGATACGATTATGCCCAACCCTACAACTCAGTCTAAAAAACTCACCACAAAGTCGCAATATTAAAACCAGATTTGGTCTCACTGGCCGTTGTGGGCATAAATAAAGAGGAGGTTAGAGGAAGAAATAGTTTAACTATTAAGCATTTTTCTTAGAATACCAATTATTATTTCTGACACTTTCATTTTAAAGGCAGAAGGAAAAGAAATGTTCATAAATGACTATCACAAATTTACAAAATGGCCTCATGACCTGAGATCTGTGTCTGCTACCAAAGATCTATGGAATAGTGTTTATAATTTCTATGAGGCATGTTAAAAAGTAAACAACAACAACATTTACCAGCACACTTACACTCGTTTTCATTTACTAAAAGAAAAACTCTCCGGCCTGCAAGCCAACTTGCTACTTGTCTCCTAACTGCAACCGGGGACACATTTTCCAAGACTCGAAAACAGAACCACAACTCCTTGACATGTCCATTGTTCCAGAAAACATCTTACATGACAGTTTGCGTCAGCAGCACCCCCTTTTTTGTTCTCCTGACTGTACTGTTTCCACCACTTCAGCCTTATCAGATCCGTGAGGTGAAATAAACACAGACACAGGACGAAAACAGAGCTCCTGAGGATGGAGTTGAGCCAAAAGATTGCTGTTCCTGCTCCCCTCCCTCCAAATAAAATCAATGCAAAGTGCCTGAGCAGCAGAATAAAACAGCAGCACAAGGTAAATCTCACGAGGGTGCACGCGAGGTGTAAAGTAGTCCAGTGGTTTTATTTTAGCACTCCAACACCTACTGAAGCCTTATTACACATGCCATACTAAAACCCTTGTTTTGTAGCTTTCCTTCATTTCAATACATTCAACTTTCATGTTCTCCTAAATAGGATAGTTTAATGAGAAAGGATATTAGAACAGATTAGCTTCAGTTTAAATGATTAAAGATTTCAGCCAGGCAAAACGAAGCTGATGAGTATAAAATGTACGCCACTAAACAGTTTTAAACTACAAAAAATCACTGCATAAATATCTAAATGCTCAAACAAAATTCACTCCACCCAACCATCCACCTCCCCTTCACAAACAGCACTTTTTTTTTTACATTTTAATCACAGGCAGGGTGGAGAGGAGGGGTAGTGGCAAACCTGCAGTGTGAGGATATAAAGCTGTAGAGAGCTGCAGATGATAAAATAGTTGATGGGTTATGTAATGAAGCACAGCTAAGGCCAGGAAAGAAACGGAGAGATGAAAGCAAGCAACAACAGAGAACAAAGTCACTGGAATGTAGATTCAAATACAGGATATCCCTGCTTACTCTCTTTAGTCTAAATGCAGCCTCAAATTAAAATTGAGTCAATTAAAGTTACAAAAACAAGTAAATCTGGGTTTTAAGTGGCACAATCTCAGACTGCATATCTGAAATAAAATCCAAATAAGTTCTCTTAAAAGTTGGAAGCAGCAATGCACCAGATCTGATCACCCACACCAAACAGCATGCAGTTTGTCAGGTACTTCATGAAAAATACATCAGCCCATTAAAAACCCAGCCAAGCTCTGCGTAAACTGGAAAAACAAACACACAACACAACAAAAGCACCGCCATCTTCACATCATCACAGACTAATACAGCAGAAATAGTGCCGAGCCTATTTTATGTTTTTTCCCCCACCTTTTCAATACATGCATAGACTGCACTACTCACTTGCATGTTAGACCACTGGCAAGTTTCACCACAGCTGTATTGATGGAGAAGATCCAGTCCAAGAGCCACATGACAGAAAGGACGCAAACCCCAGTTACTGTTTTTAATTCACTGACCAAGAATAACTCAATTGGGCGAATGAAAAGAGCTCTCAAAATCTGTTCAGGCCAGGTCTGCACTCTCCTCCTCTGCCTCTAAGTGTAGCGTTGCTGCTGCGTCCCTCCCAGCACAGCAGCAACTAAAGTGCAAGTGACACAAGAAAGCGGAAGGGGAAGGAGCCCGAGGGGAGTTAAAGCCCGATTACATCCAGAACTGGTCCTGGTGCAAGCAAGATGTGATGTCAACATGACCATACCTGCTGTTTATATCAGCACTGGAGATCTAGGCTACACACACAGCTGTCCTGTTTCCAAACAGTGGGCGTCACTAATGAGAGCATAACGTCACACCTGAACAGGAGGTGCATCCTTCATGCATCAAATAAAACGTTTCAGAACGTGCTGCCATTTGCAAGGTGAAGGAGAGCTTTTGAGTCTTGATAGGAGAGAGATGATTTATGGTAGGTCGTTAGCTACTTAGTGCTATTTCATTGAAAACATTTTGCACTGCAGTAAAATAAACCATCTAAAAAAGGAGCCAGAGTTGTTGAAGAAAACCGTAAATGCATGAGGTTTAACACGATTCAGTTCTCAGGGCTTCTGAAGCTGCAAAATATACTTTATTCAAAAGAGGAACAGCAATACAACATGTTAGAAAAGCTTCAACAAAACCCCTCAGTGCCAAGTTTCTGAATTTGCATCATACCTATTAATAGCATCACATAGTCTCTAGTTGAGCTGTAGGACTGAGATATAAAGTTCGAGGCCAAACTGAGATGGTTTGGACAAGTGCACGGGCGGGACAGTGGGTATATTGGCAGAAGGATGTTAGAGATGCAGCTGCCAGGAAAAAGACAAAGAGGAGATATATGGGTGCAGTWAGAGGACATAGAGTGAGGACAGAGGATGCAGAGAACAGAGTGACTGGCTGTGGTGAACCCTGAAGAGGGAACAGAYGAAAGAWGTTGTACCACTATKTGCACATCACTGTTAAGCTCCATCAAACTCCTAACTGAACCCAAAATCAGCAAATCCAGATTCAGAGACAAAGCCTTGATTTAGCCATCATCAGGCTCCTGTCCTGTGGAACCAGCTCCAAGTTTGKGCACACAAGTTCATTGTAGTCAAGATGGCTGCCAAAACAATTTAGTCAAGACACAAAACACTATTCCTCAGTCAATTTAACAGATAAAGAACTAATAATTTATGTGGTAGTAGCTGAGTCTCACAGAACAAATATTTTGAGCGACATCTTGTAAAATTCATATCTTTAAATGAATTCTTAACATCTTACAGTTTCTTTTTTTGTCCACTTTTATTGTGTTTTGTCTTTCTCCCTCTGTAAATCATTTTGGGATGACTTGAAAAGTCCTATACAAAAAAAAAAAAAGACTGATTGACTCATCACTAAGAATGTTATACTACTACATGAGTTATATAGTACTCAGAAAGCCTTACCATTTTTGATATGGCATCATTGATCAAGCACTTTGTATCAAACATTTTCTCTTTTTTTCCCTTCACAATTTTAAAAGTAGTTGACTGCAGTTTCAAAGACAAAGTAATTATATAATGTAAAATAAATAATGATATAGTGAAGTCAGTTTAATATTTTGAAAAAGATATACCTATCAGACGATTGTCTTGTGTTTTTTTAATAACATTAAACCAGATGTATCCATAAATAAGAGAACTGAACATATCTAAGAGYGAACCTCACTGCTGCCATATTTACATAGTTTATTTTATTTTTTTATTCTTTCTGTTTTCTGCTTCTGGATCAAAACAAAACCACAAATACAGACGAGTGGTCCCTACTTACTTTTTGCCAGGTTTTCTGGGTTTCGTCCTCTTCTTTCTTGCTTGTAAGGCGAGAACTACAAGGAGGAAATAAAACAGGTGTAAATAACCATATCCAAAACTTGCAGCTRTGTGTATTAAATGTACAATTGCTCAAAACTGTTAAGACATTTTAGCAATATTATCAAGAAARTGTGAGCAAATGTGAAAAAAATTAATCTGACAGTTAGCAAATATAATGCTAGCAGATTACTTAGCTAAAGTAACTCACCGGTTTATTCAGCTTATAATAGCAACTATGAGCTTATGTGGTGAATAAAAGTTTCTACTCAATAATAAATAAAGCCATGACAGTTCGGATACCAACGTTTGAGACTGTGTGGTTTACTTTTCGTTTTATTTACGAAAACGAAATGGCGCATATATTGTATACAAAAAAATGAAGCTAATCTGATGCTAAAGCTAACGTTCCCACACACATATTAGCAGAGCGGCGCATGGTCCACTTTTACTTTTTTCTCTTTTGATTTGAGGTCTTTCACAACATTAGTTGACACTGTTTACACAACAAGTTACTGGTCTGATTAGTGTTCACTGGAAGGAGGCTGTGAGGTGAAAGAAGAGCATGTAAAAAGCATTATTGTTTAGTTAGCAGCGTTACCTTTTCTTTCCATGCTGAAAAACCAGTCAGCTGCTGCKTTCAAAGGCTGTGGGAAAAATGGAAACTAGCCGAAGTGCGCGACCAAACAAAAGGCGTATGACCTACAGAGGGTGGTATTTGGTTATAAAAACTGAAGTTGTCCCCATTTAATAATTATTTTGTCAAAAATCACTTACCAGTAAACTTAATTATTTTTATTTTACATGAATGACTCCATTCTTATGAGCTTTTTTCTGTTTTTATATTTGTTGTGAAGCAAAATTATTTTTGCTTGAGTACTTTTAGTTCTCTGCATACCTTACTAATAAAAAAAATACTGAACCTCGTAGTAACTTTTTAATCACTGTAACTTCGTCATAATTATTTGATGACCTTTTTATTAGTTGCTTTAAAAACTATTTTACTATTATAAACAACTTGTTTAACCACAATCAGATTAGTGATGTTATAAATTGTACATGTGTCCTTTTAAAGAAACAATTGCCAAAAGAACAGTCTCACAAGAGTATATTATGCAAGTGTTTGTAAACCATGAGAGCAAAAGAAAACATTTTAATCAAACCAACAAACCAAATTTTAATATTTTGGATTAAGCTGTTTGTTTTTTAAGGGGTTTTCATTGTTTATAACTAACTTTCTCCTTTGGAACATAAAAAGTTAAAACTACTCCTCGTCTTGTTATAATTAGCTACACAAATAATACTCAGTATGCTCTACTTGTGCTCCTCTGCCCCCTGCTGGCGACACAGATTTACCATTATAAACAACACAATCCTCAGTTCCAGCTTTGAAAAATAGTAGCCTTTATTTTTCCARTGGTGTTATATTTACAGAGAGTACGGCCTGCTGTCATGGTACATATGGTGGAGAACTTACTGAAAAAATAAAATAAAATGAAGCAAGCAAAAACCAGAACAATCTGTGACATTTGAGATGTAGAAAGGACAAATATCAGACTGTAGCAGTTGTGTAAAAAACAAACAAACAAACAAAAAACATGACAAAGTGTGAGACTTCAGCATCCAGTGAGTAAACGTCCACTCATGTGGCCTGCTAAACTATTCAAACAATAGGGTGCTAYTGCACCTTATAAATCATGGAACATCAACTTTTGATTTTAAAAACACAGGGAGTAAAATAATACATTAGACAAAAAATAAAAAATCAATCAATCAAGGGTTTGCAAAATGTGGATACAACACATCTGTGGCAAGTAACTCTGGTTTGATTTGAAACTTTYTGCAATATAGTGCTTTAATGGTTGTATAAACAATAAATTGACTGGAATACACATTTTGCTTTTTATATTTCTTGTCCAAGTTAATCTAAACAGGATTGTTTAGATTGACTTTGGACATTTCCAGCAAACCTTAAGTTAAGAATAATTTTAAACTCTATGGATCTTTTTCTTGGTTGTTTGATTTAGAAAAACAAGCTCAAACTGCAGTCACTGATACATTCGGATACTGATACAAGCTTTCCATAAATAATACAAACCTAAAATTGCAACAAATAATATTCTCTTTTACACTGATATACAAACAAAAAATAAAATAAAATAACAAAAGCTCATAAATACAGGGCAACGTGGCGCCCCAAACATTCAAACAAACACGAATAGTACTGTGGTTTTCAAATGCAATGTGATTAACGTTCACAATGAGATGTTTAATTTAATGTAAAACATCAAATCTGAATAAATTACGATGCTAAACCTTGTTTTCACTGGGCGACCGTGACCCTGGAGCTTGCTGACAGCTAAAAAAAAATCATTACTTTTTTATTTTTTTATTTTTTTACAATAAAAGTATTCTGAACTGATAATGAAAAAAAAGGTGGAACCTTTTAAACATTTGGTGATATTAATACGCAGAATGCTACAAAATCTTTTCCTTGGGGGGGAAAAATAAAAAAATCTAAGTCTACAAAACCAGCAAGAAATATGAAGCCTGACTCTTTTCTCATCAGAATGAATTTATATTTACTTCCTGTTCTGTACATATTTATTTATAAATCACTAATAATATGTTTTATGTTATTTTAGGAAAAATCTAATTCATACTGTTAAAGAGGTTGGCTATGGTGCGTCCCAGCAGGTTCTGATTGTTACATAATAAGGTCATCATTTCACCTGAAATACTTAAGTACAAATACTGTTTGCTGTAATATCTACACAGTCCTAACCGCACAATAAGATAACATTTAACCTAACATAACTTTCTGCTGTAATAGTGCCTGCCAAGTAGTAAAAATTTTAAAAACATGACTCTGCAGGTAAAATCTTCAGATTTGTTGTCATTTACGGTCTGTCTTTAAAGTGAAAACAGAGAAAAAATTCTAAAGTCCGAGGCAGAAACTAAACTATAGTTAAGATCTAAGTGTGACCTTATGATGGGGGGAAGAGGATAAAAAGGAACACAAACAGGAGGCTGGAGGACAATATGAACAGGATGTGAAAGTTTTGCTTTTGTTTGTTTTTCCCCCCTGGTATCACAGCATCCCTCAGATATAAATGATGACAGGCACTTGAATGTCATGGTGTGAGTAAAAAAAAAAAAAAAAGAATGGATAGTCACGTGAGATTGACAATTTTAAAAGTGTTTCATTGAAGAAAAAAACATAACAAATAAAAGACAAAAGGCATCTCTCCCTCATGATTCCATCTCATCATCTAAAGATGGCGGCACAAAGCTCAGAACCTCTTCGTAGGTTAACCCTGAAAAACAATTATAATAAGAAAGATTAATCACCAAAATAATAAACTCCATAATGATAATTGTCAGGCACTAACTCTGTGCCAACTTACTCTTCCACTCCTCGATTTCCAGGTCGCGGCTCTCAAAGCTCTGATCGTATGGATCTGCTTCTGGCTCATCGTCCGGATCGTGGTACTGAGCGAAGTACGAGTGGGCCAGAGCCTCAGACGCTGTGATCCGCTTGTCTGTGTCCAACACCAGCATTTTTTCCAGCAAGTCCACGGCTACGGCACAGCAGGAATAGAGTAACATTAATGGTCACATGTTTAACARCGTGGATCAATGACTCTGTCAAAAGACTGAACAATAATAAGGGTAAGCACTTAAAATTACATAGTGAAAAAATTAACTAGAGGATTTTTAGTCTCAGTAATAATAATAATAATAACAATAATAATAATAATATTTGTGTGGCACTGTACATTTCTAAATTTCCAAGTGCTACATCTCATATACCTGGTTTTTCTATGCAAAGTCGTCTTTTTTTCTTTTTTTTTTTTTTTTTGCTTAAGATTGTTTTTTTTTTACAGTCAGAAGCCATGGTCTGTGCCACCTTCCAGAACGTATTTAATGCATCTGTTCTAAATGAAGCTTCTGAACTGAACTGCAAAACCATCATTTTATTTTCTTCCTTTTGTTAAAGCCAGGTAGCTATTTATGTGAGAAAACCGACAAGGAACCAAAATCTGCAGTCATGTTGGTCTGACGCCACTAGAGGGAAACAGTGAGCCAGAAGTGGTACAAGCCAGAGTGTAACAGTGAAAGAGGAACTCACCCAGAGGGTTGGCGCCAATAAACACATCCGCAAAGTTCCTCTTGGGCATGTGGGGAAGTGAACTGATGTAGTTCCTTGCCTGTGAACAAAAATTAATAGAAAGAGCAACAAGGTTAACAGCTTTAGAAGGTGAATTTTACAGAGAATTTCAGAAACTCTTGACACAGCCACCCATTCAGTTCAAACGAGACACAAAATAAGGTCAAACTTTTGAGTAGGTGCATTCCAAGCAGTTCAGTTAATAACACACATTAGGCAGAAGGTCAAGCCGTTCTAACTTTAAGAATGAAGCTGCACAGCTGATCAGAGTTGTAACTGCAGCGGTCCAAGACTCTGAGAAACCCTGCAGTGACGAGCACGGTGAGTCAGAGAGGAAACGGGGAGCACATGAGGAGAGAGCAGAGGCTGCTGTGCTTGGAAGGAAAGTCTGCAAACAGACGACGTATCGGACCGCTGCTGCTCAGCGCCAACTCCGGCTGAAGAAGGCTCTCCGTGTGGGAAAGGCGAAAAGGGAGCGAGGGGCGGTGGGGGGGGTCTCACCTCGTGGCTGGGCATCCTGCTTATGAGAGAGGCTGGGGGAGTCCCCGTCAGGCGCATTATCTGCTGCAGCTGGTTTATATCTAAAGCTTCTGAGTCAAGGGGCATGGCAGCATGGAGCTCAGCAGAAAGCATGGCTGGTTAGGGTTTAAATTTAGGTTGATTGAATAAGCAGAAGGAGTGGGGAGGGAGGGGGGAGACACATGGAGTGAGGATGAAGAGCCAAGGAGGAAGAAGAGTAACCTTTGACTATCAGCGGAGGAGAAAAACTTGAAAAACAGTGTAGCTCTGTAGTCAATAAAAAGACATCAGCAGGCTCTGAGAGAAACAACAACAACAAAAACCAGTACATGCTGCAGAGGCGTGGAAATCAAAGGCTTGAGTTCAAAGGTAAATTGAAGAAATGACGTAATGCGATGCACATTAACACAAGGAAGTACCCTAACGACTGCCAGTGCAACACAGAGGCGAGGAAGAGAAGAGGCAGCAACACTGAGATGGATGGGACGTTTGACACTCACAGAGTCTGAAGAGATTTTCATCAAGAGCTCGGGCCCTGGGGTTCCGACGAGCATCATTATAAGCTTCAACTGATCAATGTCTATCACACTCGCATGAAGGAAAAAAAATAAATCAAAAGATGGAGGGTGTTTATGAAGGGGATCGCATGTCAAACATGCGATCTGCATGCAAAATAAAATAAATAAATAAAAAGTAACTTCTCGCCAAAGTAAAGCTAAAAATAAAAGCAGAAAGAAACTGAGATGGGTTTCACGGAGTCACGCTGTCATGCATCAGTAGTGGCTGATGAAAGCCTGAAAGCTACCAGCTTTAACCTCTGCATCAGTCATTTTGCAAACAAAAAAAAATGGATCTAAGATAGTTGCAACACATTTCAAAATGTCTTTGATTCAAGCATGAGACCGAATCAAAGCATGCGTTAAAGAAAAACGAGAATTTGTCACTGCTTCTGAGGCCTTTCATTTGTCAGCCTGCAGAGCTGCTCCATGACTTTCTTTAAAAGTAATAATCAAGTTTCCCCCTTTTCACTGCCTTATCACCCAGCTTCTTCTTTATTTGTTGTTGCTCTGTAAGATTTAGGTCACGGTCCTGGAAACCTGAACTCTCATCTACTTAGACTAAACACTATCTCATGGCAACAAAAGCTGCTCCTTTTATCGGCAGTTTTTGAAATCTCATCCCTGCTTTCTGTCTGAACGTTTTCACAGATGTGATTCTTAGAGCCTTTTAATCATCCCGTTTTATTTCATAAACGGGTCCATCTGCTGCTGGTTTTTGTGCATCTTCTCATGCTGCGCTCTAATTTTAAACTCTTTTCAGCAATGCATTTAATTATAGGACATAAAATATTTCTGTATTTATAATCTGAAAACAAAACTCTTGTGTTYTTCAAAAAACAAAAAAAAGTTGGAACTTCTCATAAAAGTTTTGTTAGCTGCATTTTTGGGTGTAAAATTCATGAGACATTTAAAATTTTGTTTTATTCCTGAAAAACAAAAGCTGGATTAATCTCACTCAGATCTATATAATTTTTGTCATGGCTTGGCATGCAGCTTAGCTTATTATGCTACTTTGAATAGGACAGTGACAAAAATACTCGTCACAAATTAAAGATTCAGCATTTCATTAATCGAAACATAAAAAGTCTACAACCAAAAATGTTTTGCATTTCTGCATTCTTGAAACCAATTACTGGAACAAGTCGCTGGTGTAGATWCTCATTCATGCAAGAAGCGGTAAATCAAATAAATAAATGAGTGAAAAACAAAACAAATTTTACACAGAGGGAAAAAAAACCTTCCTTTCCTTCCTGCTGCACATATGTATGAAGATCGGATTTCATTCAGGCAGGTGTGAGAAAGTGAACAGAGGATCGTGTTTATATAACTAACGCCTCAGAGCCTTTCAAATCTGAAAGTGTACAAACTCAAACACACACCCACAAAGAACGTGCAGAGGAGGAGTGGATGAGCTGATTGATTATTTCAAGCAGGAAACACAAACACATTATGTAACAGCCAGTCCATGCTTTGATACTTAACACAACCGTGGCCTCAGTGTTTGCATGTGAGCGTTTGCGTGTGTGTGTGTGTACGCTCAGTGGTGGTTCATGGGAGTCTCTGTGGAGGGGGAAGCAGGAAAAAAGTACTGCACTGTGGAGAGTCAGGAGAACTGAGCCAAACACCAGACAGAACTGCTAACCTCACTACTACTGCATTTTGTAGCCCATAACGAACATGCATGAGTCCTCGAGTGTTCTGGTATGCAGCTTTCAAAGTGCAACTCTTAGCAATGCTTTCGGGTCAGCCTAAACAAGGTGAAGGTTGTGGCTGTGTGTTTTTAAAACTATTTTTGTGTAAAACAATCCATTCAACTGCTGCTTCAGGTGCATCTAAAATCAAGTGCGCTGCATTGACCTGCTGCCAGATGCACAGAGTGCCAATGTGGACGGCGGGGGTGCACGGAGGTRACGGAGGTAAAAGGATACGATCTGTGCCGGGGAAGAGCGTCCGTCCTGTAAGAAGTTCTGCCATGATGCAACCCACTGACCAGATATCCACTGTCCAAATCAAAAACAAAGTACATTAGCATATAAAGCAAAAACTAGAACAAAAAGTCTTGCAAAGTCATAATAAATAAAAAGGCGTAACAATCCTTGAAGGAGTGCATATTAAACACCATCTTTAATGTTAACATTTTAAACTAGCATCATCTTATTCTGAGAAATACAGTTATAGCAATTTAGAAAAACTAAATTATGGTTCGTTACACTTGATATTGTGTTTTGAGTAATCTGTGTTCAGAGTATGTAMCAAAAATACCAAAAAGTRGCTGTGGCAGCCATCTTGAATTGGATTACTTGTAAGCTTTTAATAAAAATTCCTGAGATGAGCTATAGTGCTAATAAAGCAAAACAAATGTATGCAAACACAGACAMAGCTTTTCTGGTGGCAGATAATAAAATATTAGATTCAAAGACCTGTTGGAAGACAGCTGAGCTGTAGCGGAAATTACTTGGTTWGCAACTAGTAAACAGCAAAAACTAGTATTTAGCAGGGCCTTGTAATAGCCTGCACCACATTAATCCACATTGTTTATTTATCCACATATACAGATATTGTAACAAAGGAAATTCTTCTGTAGCTGCAACTGCAGCAGCAACTGCTTGAACTTCAGCTTAGAGTAACTAATTATAAAGTAATAGATTGGTGTCGTTTTCTTACTTAACTTTTGTAGTAAGAGTAATATTATTAGTTACTGGATACATAGTAACTTGGTTGCCTTTATAAAAACACTGACCTATATACAATTATCTGTTATTTAACACCTAATTAACCTAAGAAWAAAAGTGATTTTATTGTGACAGGGAGATGGGATTTTTTGAAGACAAAGCGGGGAAAGAAACATTTAGTTTGGTAGTTGTTCAAAAATTTTCTCTCTCATCAGATGACGTTTCTTACTATTCAATGGCCTTACTTTTAGCTAATTTCATCCACTGCCTTTTAATACCTTTTACATCCCCACACACACCCCGCTTTTATGTCCCGTGGGGTCAAAAATGTGACAAAAGCTGTTTCGGTTTCTCTAAAGTTGCCCTTTTTGATTCAGACATACAAAAGAAACTAAATAAATCTAATGGGTCTGTGTTTGGTTTTTACCAACCTCCTTTCTAGACAGGTCAGGTTCTTTCTAACGTGAAATTAAAAATCTGTAAAAAAAAAAATTTAAAATAAAAAAAATACTTAACCCTGACATAAGGTGGGGAATAAACTCCTATATGAGTCAGTACTGCAACGTGATCCAAGTTATGTGAATTTGTTTGTGATTAGATGTCTGCTCACCGGTCATGTTGTAGTGCATCCAGTTCAGCATGATCTCAGGGGCTCGGTACCACCGGGTGGCTACGTATCCCGTCATCTCATCATCTGTGTGCCGCGCCAAACCAAAGTCGAGGATCTGCAAGGAGAGAGGACGGCAGACTCTACTGAAYACCCTGCATTTTGCGATGATCCACATCATTTATGATAATCTCTGTAACGACTGGTTCCTTACTTTAAGCTCACAGTCTTCATTTACAGCCAGATTACTGGGCTTCAAGTCCTAAACAAACAGGGGAAAGTCAAGAAGAGAACAATAAATGTTTTCATTTATTCACTAAGTGCAGAAACAGTTTCTGGTTGGACTGAAACCAGATTAGCTTAATCTGAGTATATTTACACRTTCAGGAACAATCACTTACTCTATGAATAATATCTGCAGAGTGGATATACTGTGGGGAAAGATAGAAAAGCACAACAAAGATTTATTTTTTATACACACAGAGTAGAAATTAAAATATTTCTATTAAGGCTGGGTAAAAAAATCTATTTTATCGATCTTGGGTCGATTTAATTTAAATTTGGGAAAATTGATTCACAGGACAAGAGATCGATTCTTCACCATGGCGTCTTGTGTGCACGTCTGAGGCGTGTTTCTATATTTTGTCACTCCTGGCTTGCCATATATTTACATCCGGTTGACATTCAGTGCTAACATTAGCTTTCGATAACAAGTTGTCTGGATCAAAACAAAAGAAACTAAGGAATCACTAATGTTATCAGCCGACTYAGCAGATAACAGAGACCATGGAGACTTCTGTTTGTAAAGATTTSTGCTCCTACATGGTAGAAAAAACGAAGCGGGGTTTGATGAGCGGCTCGTTAGGCACTCGAACCAAACTACGGTATGTAAACATCTGACTGAACTGTTCTCCACTGGCATGTATAAACATTTTAAAGATGAAATTCTAACAAAATTGTTTTGTTTTGTTACCAATATTATTTTTAAACTTTAAGAGATGTCTTAATGAAATCACAGTGATGAAATTTTGTAGTTGTTTTGATACATTTACATTTCAAAACACCCATTCACAAATCTTCATTCACTCAAAAGGAGTGGGCAGAAGTATATTTATATTAGCCCACCTCTTCCCCTGCAACCTTATTCCCATAACTTCTTATTTATCAAAATAATTATTTATTACTTTAATCTATTCTGAACTTAATGAAATCGAATCGATTTAGAGAACTGGCCATGATACCCAGCCTTAATTTCTATGCATTAAAATGGTAAAAACTGTTTAATAAGAAGTGATGAGCACATGATCAGAGTATATCTGAACACGTTTTCAGCTCAAATTTAAAGTTATGTTGTGTTTTCTCCTATAACAAGTGAGAATGTTTTAGAGTAACCTGAGTCAAAAATACCTGAATGTTTTGAACCAAAGTCTCACCAACCTTCAAGCCTCTGAGGATCTGGTAGATGAGGAACTGAACGTGGTCATCGGTCAGCTTCTGACACTTCACGATGTTGTTGAGATCTGCTCCCATAAGATGCGTCACCAAATATCTGCCAACATATCAAGTCAGAAAATCAAGATGGAGTCCATTTCTGCAGACTTTATTCAGTGAATGTTAATGTTATTCAAACATGATTACGTTTTGATCCATAAAAACTATTTCAAAACGGTTCAAATCCAAGATCTGAACAAATTAAAAGGTATTTTTTCCTTTTAATTTTGAGCAAAATTCAGTTTTAATTAAAGCGCTCTTCTTTATCAGTTTAACACACTGCAGAACAGAAAGCAAATTAATGCTCGTGACTGGCACAATAGTTTGCAATAAAATAATGAGTTTTCCATTGTGTATAATCCATCTGCTCTCCCTCTTTCAGCTACAATGACAGGTGTTAATGAGATTAATCAACTGATTACTAAAAATGAATTATTAGTAGTAGGCAGTTTATTTTCCATAATGATTTTGGATAAACAGGTTTATTTCAAAACCGATGCAAATAAACTCTTGTTTTCACTTAACATCAAAGACAAGTCATCTTAAAAAAAGTTGTCATTTTTAAAAAGTTTTTAGGTTTAAATTTGAACATAAGCATAGATGTCTTTGCTGCAGTGAATATAGGGCTGCATATATATATATGCGGTAGACCGTAGAAACGGTATGAAGTTGGCCTACATTAGAAATTTACCCTCTACCGTCCTGTCGTCAGTTACATCATCACACCTGTGTCAACAGGGCTGCGAGTGCAGAGACAACCGAGCAGGAGTTTGAAATATAATGAAGAAATTATAGTGTTTTAAAACGCGTATAGAGAGAATAAATCCTCAAAATTCCCCCCTGCTGCTGAAGAAAAGTTACGTCGTGTTGTGGGATGCGGGATCATTTCCTCCCTCCCTCTCGCTGCACGTCGCACAGAGCGAAGCTTTCACAACCGTAGTTTTTTTCACTCCCAAGTTCGGAAATTTTTTTGTTTTTTTATGTATTGTTACCCACAGACGTGATTAAAAAAAGACGTAGATGTTTGTTCAGTCATAAATCCATCTTGCTAATTAATGTAGCCTAAAATCAGCTTCTGCTCTAATGATGAAGATGATGAAGATGAGAGCGCAGCATAGCAGCAGCTGATAAGTTCAGCAGGCAGAAATTCATTGTATGGCAGGCAGATATTACATATTTTTGGCTTCACCACACTTACATTCCAGTTATCTGAAATTGTTTTATGACAGGTCTATGTGCAGCTTAAGCCTCTTAAGGTCCTGTCACACTATAACATTTTAGGCAACGTTGAACTTTTTATGTCTAAATGACTAATTTTACTTGAAGTCCTGGTTAACATCCACTTTATTTTGATGTTGAAAATTTGAAAAATGTTTTTTTTTATTGAAACGGTTTTACAATATATTTAAAACATTCTTCTATACTCGTGTTATGTATGTTCATTTGCACTACAGCAAAAATACTGGCTTTGATTATGCAGTGTTTCCCCTACCATTAAACAGCTACCCCCCTCATGTATGTGTAAATTTATTACCATAATTGCAGGTGAGTCACGTAAATTTATGTTTTTATAAAACAAGTACCCCCCCTCCCCCAAAATACCAATTTCCTAGGGGAAACACTGTTATGATTACAGTTTTCTGCAAAATAAATTCTCTAAAAATTACATTATCTTTGCTTTTTATGATAATATTCTACCGCGATATATACAGTTACCGTGAAGGGATCTAATTTCCAATTTTTACCGTGATATGAATTTGAGGTCATACTGCCGAGCCCTAAGTGAATATGTATATAATATCTCTGCAAACCTCTTGTCTTTAAGCCTATGAAGTCTGATGTGACCTAGATTCATGATAAAAGATCAGTTACATGGCTGCCCTGTGAGCAGCTTCTACACATACATGTATCTGATCTTTAGCACTGGAAGGCTGCTTCCCACTGCTTCCATTACTGATCCCCTAGAAGAGGAGGTGTCTTACCGACTGAACAATGTGTGTGCGTGCGTGCGTGCGTGCGTGTGTGGATCCATCGCACATTTCCACAAAATGTGCAACAAGCTGGTGACGCAACACCAGACAGAGGATTCAAGGATGCTGATAGAGTATTTGGTGCGCGCGCGCACACACGCACACACACACGCACGCGCATGCACGCGTGCTGTATACCCAGAGACTGCCAGATGGCTGTTGCCATAGAGACTAGCTGTGATGTGCTTTGTGAATGTGTGAATGTGTGTTCACCCTACATTCACCTCAGCAGAACTCTCCACAAGCTGGACTTAGAAAAAGTTACGGCCCGAGGAACTGTTGAGTTGGTCGCACAGTCACCTGCTGCCACAGGTGTTTGAGCAGAAGCCACGGCAGAGAGGAAAAGTCACAAAACACGGACACTAAAGAGGCCAGACGAGGACAAACTGAAACACAGGACTGAGGATGGGAGGGAAAAAAAGTGACTTACACATCGTTGAACTCCTCTAAGCTTGTCGCCGGCGTAAAAACATCTAAGAGGCCGATCACCTGAAGACAGCAGGAGAGAACAATCAATAAATCTGAATAAACGTGAAATCGTTTTGTTCAAACATGTCATTTGTTTTCTTTTTGAAAGCACCGGTTTTCACCCTAGGTGTGTGTTACAAACTGGCAATCAACACGTGTCACATTTTATAATGTCTATCAAGAACAACACCTAGATTCTAAACCAGGGCCGTTCATCTAAAGTGCTCCGGGGGGCCACAGTTACTGCGGGTCAACAGCTGAGGGGCCGAACATCTAGCAACTAAAGTCATTATGTAAATAAACCATATATAAAAAAAGTCACTGATCATGTAACTTAACTAATATTAAGTTCTGTTTTCTACTGAAGTGGTTGGAGAAAAAATAAATAAATAAACCAAGTATTACAAAGATCTGTTACCTTTGAAACAGTTTATTTTACTGTATTTAATGGTGAATGGTAAATTGACTGTACTTATATAGCGTTTTTCTATCCATCCAGGACACTCAACGCACTTTACACTACAATCTGTGTCCTCATTTACTAGGACTGTGTATTGGCAAGAATTTGGCGATACGATACATATCATGACAGAGGGGTCACGATGCGATATATCCCAATATACTGCGATACTATAAGCAAGGCAATATATCGCGATATATTGCGATTTTTTTTGTCCAAAAATTCTATTAAATAAAAACCTCACAGGGGAAAAAAATAAAAAACCAAAATTCATTGTCTCAGAAAATTCTAATATTACATAGACATACTTTTGATACATTTAGCTGTGTTCTGCTTTGTATGTGTTTTATTTTATTTGTTTCATATTTCTTATTTCATCCATATTTTCAATTATTAGGCTAAATTTGAGAATAAATAGTTTGAAAATATATTTTTTGCAGCTTTTAGTTTTTAATATTAATTTACAATATGGTCACCCAACACTTAACAATAGCGTCTACCTCAAGAGGTAGAGGAGCCAAATGGCTGGCTCACTGCTGCCAACTAGTGGTCAGAGGCTGAACTACAACACAAAAATGAACGGCTGGCAGGAAAGTTGACATTTTAAACCTTAATAAAAAAATCGATACAGGACTTTAGAATATCGATACAGTATCGGGAAATGAAATATCGCGATATTTCAGTGTATCGATATTTTCTTACACCCCTATCATTTACACATTCACACAGTACTCTACTGGGTCTCTACAAAGCTAACATGTACAATCATCTATGGAGACTAATCAACTATTATTTAGTATTTAATCATGAATACAACATAGAGAACCCTATAAAAGTAGTAATAATTAAACAATATCAGAAACAAAAAGAACACATTCAGCCTCATATTTGACAAAAAATATTTTGACATCTTTGACTTGCCAAATTTTTAAACCAATTTTATTTTGACTTTCATTGTTTTATCTTCAACTGCTTGTAGTTTTAACTGTCTTGAATGTTCAAAGAAATGGTTTTTACCAGCTTGTAGCCAAGATTCTGACGTTTCTGTAGACACCAAACATGTCTATGTTTAACTAAAAGAACTTAAAATAATTAAAGTAGAAAACAGGGGGGTTTGGGCTTAAGGAATGAATGAACCAATTGGCGGGCCGAACTTTGGTCACTCGCGGGCCGGATGTGGCCTGCGGGCCGCCATTTGAATAGCCCTGTTCTGAACTGACCTGAAATGCTCAACATTTAATTTAGATTTAGCCAAACAAGATTTTCTTTTCCCTTTATCTCATCCAAGCTGTCTGTGTTTGATAAAGTGACGAGCACTGGGTCAAAATGTGGCTCTGCTTTGGTTACTGAGCTCTTTTTAATCATTTTAATGTGACACAGTGTGTTCCAGTATCTCTGAAATCATATCGGTTGTGGTTGAGAGTGTGCCTTAAGGAGAAAAAGCGCTTTTAAAATGTCAGCAGTGTATTTAAAAAGTTGCAGTTTTGGGATACGTGCACAAACCTAATTGCTTATTAAAATGAGCTGCAGCACCTACACCCCTAACTACAATCCAATCATGCAAATGAGTGGTTGCATAACGGGAAAACCAAAAGTGATAGAAAGTGAAGAAAATGACTGAAGTGTTTGGTGCAGCTTCAGGCCGAATCAAAACTATGAGGGGAAAAAATATGCGGAAGAAAAATCTGTGTTTCTGCAGCACCTGCTTTTCTTGTAWAAAATGCAAGCATGCACGCTGACAAAGAGCACCAACCCTGCCCCCACCCCTCCAGGAGGGGGGTAGATGAATGAGAAAAGAGGTGGATAGGTGGTGTGCATACACTGGAATGTCCCACCCACACAGGATCCAAACCTGCAGCTTATTGGTGGTGCCAGGTTCACAACAAACAACTGATTGGTTCACTATGGCTTTCCAAAAGTCAAAAMCCGGGCAGTCTCCTGGCAACAGGATGAGCAAAACACCAAACCTCCWTTTTTTTCTGTGTGTAAATCGTAAGTTAGGATTAAAGAACTGCGCGGCTTTGTGTTTTTTTGCTTCCTGTATGGAGGAAGACTCAACAGCATGTGGATCCTCTTACATAAACCCCACATTGTGGTTTAATTGCTCAAGAAGACTGCTCATCGGACACACATCTTTGTACATTACAMGCGTGCGTGCGTTCAGTGCAGTGATTACAAAACTGAGTCCGTCTGATCCTGAATAATCCTCGTTATATGAAAAACTCTGTTTTTCAAAATGAATGTGCAGATGTGTTTACAGTAGCAATGCTTTGTGCAACACCGAGCTGCAAACCTGCTGAAACGACGTTGGGAGTTATAAAAAGGGCGTGTATAAACAAAAAAGTTTGCACCGTGTTTCATATAGAATCTCTAATTTTTATGTAAGATTTCATAATCAAATGCCTTTCCACGGGCGTCACGTTGAAACAAACGTAAATGAAAACCGCTTTTTGACACTTTCTGGGCAGACTCTGAGCTGCAGCTCGTGAGCTGCTCTAACACAAGTGTTTCAAAACAGCCACTTCCTGCAACTTCAGAGTGCCAGACGTCTTATATGAGGTCTTAAGACCCTTATTAGACTGATGATCGAGCGGGCATGAATCACACTGAGCCTTTGTGGACGTGGTGTTATTTCTATAAATGCACGATAATCTAAAGACAGCAGTTAATCAATGTCTAATACTTCTTACACATCTTATTGCTCAARTTAAACCAGATTTCTCAAGATGGGCTTCGATTTCACATCAGCATCTGCTGCACTGCTGGTGGGTTTTCCCCTTACTAACTTTCCACAGCTTTATTTCTTTTCTTTTTCCTCCACTAAAACTGCTTTTACCTCACATTGAAGGATTGTTCCACAAGACTGTAGCAGCAAAAAACACTGCTCCATCTCGTTCACTCACCCTGCTCTGATCCTGCTCTACAAGGRATGGTTCAGAATCAGATCTTTTGTAGAAAGCTTGTTGAGCAGGCCTAATTTTGTACGCAATATAAATTTCATTTAAAAATAAGTATGATTTTGGATTGTTGTTTGCATTGTGGTTTGCTTTAAAGTGTTCACATTCACGTGACTAGTATGAAGACTTACAGTCTTCTTGTAAGATGTCTTGTCTTCTTACAGAGATAAGATCTATCAGTCACAAGTCGTAACACTGAAAACCCCTCTAAAGTTCAGATACAGAGATGTTCACTGCTGCTGATGGTGTTTGCCAGAGATGTTTATATTCCGTTATTTTCACAGGTCCAATGGCTCGACACGGCGGCGTTGGCACATATTCCGGCAGTGAACGTGTAGATCACCTGTGACGGAAGTTCCCACTGTGCAATCCTTCCTAAAATAAACTGTGATAGCAGAAACAAGATCCTGTAACACTTTTCACTTTGTTGTGCATGTGTGTTTGCCTCTATGTCTGTTTTTTTTTTATTTTGTGTGGAAAAAAAGCGCTGTGGTGAGTCACTACAAGCTGGCAACGAGTAAACAACGGACGGTTGCATTGACCCCATGCCTTCTTAAAACAACTCTAATGCCAAACATTACCTGTGAAAGATATCATGTAAACTTTTAGATGATTGTCAGACTTTATTTACACAAGATTTTCTTCTTATTTGTAAATAGCAATAACAGCAGCTAGCTGTAGCACTTCTGGTGCAACCTCAGCCACTTCCTGAAGGGAAGTCATAACACTATCGTCACATTTTTGCTAGAATAACCTTGTAATAGAAAACTAACGGCGATGAAACGGCTTATAAACGTGGGTTAAATTATAATTTGAATTGTTTTAAAGTGGCAGCAATCGTATTTGCTCTTGGCCTATTTCAGACTGGTTGTCCATCAGCTTAGCAAGAATTTACCTCTAATTATCCACACTGAGGTCAATCAAAGAGCTGTTTACAACAGGTAAGATATTCATTGTTAGCTACCTTTGCAATGGATCTCATTTCTTAAAATCCTTTAAAAAATAAATAAATAATCCAAACTATCCTATATTTGCATTGTGCAATTGCTACAAACAACCCAAAACAAACACTGCAATGTAAATTCCTCCAGTAAAAAGACCCAACAAACAAAAACTTCTAGGCTTATTCACAGTCCGATGCACCAAGTGGCTTCTTCTCAAATCACACACAGAACCCCATCATCTGCAGTCCATCTWGAGAAATTAAAACCTCCAGCTTCACACAAAAGCCCCTCTGTGCTCAGTGTAAAGTGTTGGCAGGGTGCAGCAACAGCACGAGTGGCTGTTTCGTATGCGGGCAAGGTCTGCATGTTCACACACAAACCATAACCAAAGCTGTGATTGTGGGAGGCCAAGTGAAGCCCCTACCCTGAATCCAAAACTGCTGCTGTAATCATCTCAGATMCATGCTGAAGATCAGCTACACTTTTATTGGGGGCTTTTTGCCCTTTTTGCATGCTAGGTTTTAAATTTTAAACATCTCAGTCCATACATTTTTAATAAACTGTAAAATAGATAAAAAATTAAGTTTTTTTTTTAACCATCGCTGCATAATGAGGTCATAACCTCATAAATACAGGGTGTGTAACATCCCTATTTATCCCTTTTTACAAAGAATGAGCTCTGCGTAATCTCCCGATGTCACGTGGCTCTCCCTTCACATTCCTGAGAGCAAGTTTAAATATCGCCCAAAAAATTAAAAATAAATCAATCTCAACAAGCCAAGCCAGTCTTTTTAGGGATTGCCACCCTGAAAACCACAGTTAGATTTTATTTWWTTTTTWTTCTGAGTRCTACACAACAAAAAGGTGGGGAGGCGACTCACATTCTCGTGCTTCATGTGTTTCAGCAGCCGCAGCTCTCTGTAGGTTCTCTTTGCGTGGATAATGGACTGGAAAGGTCTGGATAACTTCTTCACCGCTACCTTCAGGCCCAACTTCACATCATACGATGAACTGCAAACAAGTGTTAGAAATATGTGTGATTAAACAAAGCAARTGCATTAAAGCAAACTGCTAACAGCTGTAGTGCTGCAACTAATGATTATTTTAATAATTGATTAATCGGTTGATTATTTTTTCGATTAATCTATTAATCGGTCAAATCATTAAAACGCTTAATTACATGAATGTGAGTAGATATAAATTAAGTTAACTCCTTAAGGATGCTAGTTATTGACAATGAATTAATCTGAAGTTGATTTATCTTATAGATTGATTGATTAACAACTAATTAATAAGCAGCCATTTTTTTTAAAAAATGGAGTTTTCTCTTGAATCAAGAGGGTCTTCCCATAAAGTGAAGGATTTTTTATAATCTCCTGAATTAAAAAACAGAAGCACATAATACATATTTTAACAATTTATTTTGCCAGTTGTATTAAACTGACTGAAAAAAATGTGTAATTCTCCTACATGAAACATAACAGAAATTTAATAGGTTGCTGAATGAGGAAAATAGATTAAAATAATAAAATGTGATTTTTAGATGTAAAACTATTATTAATTAATTATAATTAGAATTTATTTACATTTAACATTTATTTTTTTCTCCAATTCTTTACTTTTTGTTTCATTCTTGTTGGTTCTGTTTGACTAAAACATTGTTTGACCCTAGGGCTGCCACAAACGATTATTTTTATAAATCGATTAATGACTGATTATTTTTTCGATTAGTCGACTAATCGGATCATATGTTAATTGAATATAAAACACAGAGCTTATCGTGCCAGAATGTAGCTGCTGTTATATAACCATGGTTAGATTTTAGCTATATGCTAACTAAAAATAATTGCTGTGGAAGACAAGTTCTGTCTTGCAGATATTACACAGGTTTCTCTTTCATTTTCTTAAAGTGATCCCACACTTTTGAGCTCCGTTGCCAGGTAGCCATGATACCAGAGCCTGTCTGTATAATATCTTGTGACGTCCACAGCCTACCCCAGTTACCACTACTGTGCATATGTGTCAAGGACAGAAAGGCAGATGTGGCAGTGGAAGGTGTCAAAGCAGTTTGGAGAGAAAAACAAAGAAAAAGAAAACGATTAATCGATTATTCAATTAGTCATCGATTATTTTAATAATCGATTAGTCGTCGATTAATCGATTAATCATTGCAGCCCTACACAGCTGTAATTAATAAATTAATTAATGCATTTTTACCTGTCCAAACTTAACTGGACTGTGTGGGTGGATTTAACTCAGCCAATAATTGCCTAACACTGAGCTCTTAGTTTCAGTTTTTTTCCCAGTGAGCAGCCTAATTCTACAGAGAACAAGCCTGAACCTGTTGTTTAGGATTACTACTGTGACCATGAGTGTAAAATTTACTAGGAAAATAAAAACCTGCAGAATATTGTTGAATATATRCTCACAGGAATTTACCAAACAGAAAACATTTTTATTCATATTAATGCTGCTTATGTTCATACTCATGTTCCTGAACTGTCTGTAGATTGAAAAAACGAAAGAAAAAAAACATTACTCACAGGCCAATAAATGGATGATATTACATTAATGAGTTTAAAAATGACAAGGCTGTAACTCTTACGTCTAAATACGATTTAATTAAAACACAGGAASAAACACTGAAATGACGTCTGTTACACGTCTCTGGTAATAAAAAAGCAGAGCCCAATTTATTGTGTTCCCTAAATAAAAAGTCAGCAGCAGCTGCTTCTAGCACATTGATTTAATATGCAGCATTAAATTAAAACCACTCAATGCCCTGCACTTCTGTTGAAAATGCGCGACCGTGCAAGYGTTTGCTTTCAACCCAATTTGTATTTTTATAAAGCGGCTACAGTTCGTRAATGTAATTTTAGCGCAACCCGTGTAGCGAAAAGATGAATGGCAAAGAATGCAGAATTAAATGTAATGTGCAAAATTTAAACAACTGGCATAAAGTTAACAGTAAGAATCAGGTAAATTATAAACAAAAACAAAAAAATCACAGAAAAAGAATGTTATTGCTAGGATTTGTGCTAAATTATAACTTTAAAATGGTGATACACATTTTTTATATATATTTCAGTGTTTCCCTACCATTATTCCCCCCGCCTCCCCCCCGCTAACGAGACGACCCGCCCCTCTAAGAATTTCACGGCATGTAGTCACTTTTTATTTAAATAAGGCTAGATCAAGTCGAGAGCTATTTTTTGCGTCCCTCCATATCCACCTCTCACCAAACTTGGGGAAAAAGACGGCGCAGAGCGCCGTGTGTGGTCCTCACAAAGATAGGAAGACGTGTGTGAGATTAGACGCGCTGCTCTGCTTTTAATCACGTAGCACCGATGTGACAGCTTTGCAAGTTACTTTTTCTTTCTTTAAAAGAAAATGCTACAGCTGAAGCCACAGCATGCTGACTACCTTATCAATAATTACTGCCTTTTTTCTTTCTGTGTGGGTGGGGGGTCAGCTTCACTCAGCTCAGGTGAACACCTCCCGGGAACGCACACGTTTCCTGGACTATTTTCCACCGAGGATTACGTCGTATTTTATATTTATTATATTTCTAAAAACACTTCGCAGCATTTCTCCCGTGTGTTCACGTCACGAGCAAAACGAAACCACGAC